TATGATTGAAAACTTTCATTTTTTCTGAAAAGGTGGTGTCTATTTACTTGTGACCACGCTGTGTATTTATCATGTATAGTTAAAAGAATTTTTTTTGTGACTTGTTATAAAAATAGCTTTTAGCTATGATCATGAGTATATTGGCTTGACTAATAGAAGTTTTTTTTTTGAAAAATAAAAACAGGATAAGTAACCTTATGATCCCTAAGACCTGAAAGCACTAGGCCTAAAAACAATCCAGTCACTGCTAGTTAAACTTAAGATGAAACTACGATGATCATTTCCTCAATGTTTCTGTTATGTTCATTAATGAAATCAATCACATTTATCTTCTGGACCTCAATTGTGTTTTTCAAGTTTGTTTTTCTTGTAACTTTATCTGCTCTAAGGGTTTTTAACAACTTTTAAGTATAGAGAATTGAAGACAGATGCCTGTACATGTATCTATCTCGCCACTTTCATAACATGACTGTAACTGATGTAATGTTTATTAAATTCAATCTGAAAATTTAAACATCTTGTAATCATTTTTTGTTTCTTCCAGTTAGGTTTTCACTGAGGCAATTTACCTTTGTGTCATTGGAGGTTTTAAAACTTTTGAACTTGAATTATGTTGAATTGTAAATCAGGAATATTTATTGCAAGTAATATTGTAATATTTTTTGTGGCCAAACAGGGTGAAGAACATACAAACTTTTTATCTAAACTCTGGTGGTTTCCATTATTCCTGTACTTTGAGCGTAATGTTAATGGTGTGATACCTAGCCAGTACGAGTGGCCATTACCTTGGCCAAGGAGATGTTTCAGATCTCCATATGTTTCTTAGCATTAAATCAGGGTAAGTATACTGGTCCGACTGAGTTCTTAGAGATTTGTTTCTTTTGATTTTTTTTTTCACATAAAACCAAGGAAAATTGTAATAACCTTTATATCACTACATGGATATATAGTCAGGACCTATGCTATAGAAACTTAATCTTTGTCAGTTTACAACTATTGACTAATATATTATAAAGGGAACAAATGATCTGTTGCCTGAAATTATCAGACAATTTTTTATACCCCTCTGTTTTCAGCTTTACTAAAATCTGATTAATTAGCACTGCCACATAATGTATTTAGCCTAAATGTAATTCTTTAAACTCATAGGCCTATTTGTCTATACATGTCACCGCTGGTAACGTAGTTATGAAAGACATAGGTCCATTTTGTTGATGATTATGATATTTATGTATGAAATAATTAACTTAATTGAAGATTGGACCACACTATTCAATAAATTTATCACTAAATATCAGATCAGAAAAGGATTGTACCTTCACATGCTTACAAATTACAATAAACATATAAAGTATGCACCTGTCTAACTATAGCATAAAATTTTTCTAGAATACTGGCGATATTTCCAATGTTATCCTCTGTGCAGTGCAGTGTTCCTTGAATACTTTTACAACTTCTTTGATTATGTTTTTAGTACTTTTACCATGCTTTTCTGTATTCAAGTTGTTTTTAACTACTAAGCAGATGTTATCTAAGAAATTTATGATAAATGTTCCTTTTTTTTTCAGAATAGACTGAATGTTGGTGAAGATATTTCTTAGGGATCAAGAAATATAGGTGAAATATTAAAATGTTTTAATTTGAATTAAAACCTGCAGGACTGAATTTAAAGCATTATCAACAAAGTATAGTACCTGTTGTTTTAAAATAGTGTTTGTGGCAATCTGTATAGGATACTTAGAAAGTGAAAATTTTGAATAATTCAATAGTTTTGTGAGTATTTTAAACATATAGAAATAAATTTGTCTCTCTGTGCAAAATATTTTAATGTTTTCACATTTTGTAATTTTCAGAGTATTGATTACTCAGTTTAATCAGCTTTTGATGAAACAGTTATTAGTCCATAAGATATTTTTGTGACTCCGAAAAATGGAAAAATGTGATGTCGTAAATATGTGCATACAAAGAAATATCTATGGTTTTGGGTTTTTAGTATATTTGTTCTATTATATGTGTATATGTTCATGAGGTTTATTTGAATTAAAAAAGGTATTATTAAAAAAATATATGTAAAACTGTAATCTAACAATTGTGTAAGTTACTGCAAAGTAATAGTGAAATTGATGTTTATGATGGGTAATTGTATATATTTGCACTGACACTATAAGAATACTGAAAGTGATGGCCTTTGTAAGTACTACTATAGTCCAGCCAATGAGCATCATTAGTCAGTCCTTGTAAGCACCATGTGGTTTATTGAAATAGTTAAGCCTTTACTATATATATATATATATATATATATATGTAGATACAAGTGTGAACCACTCATTGACTACAAAAAGTACATTTTCTACTAATGCCCAGTGAATGTTGGACCTTATAAACGTTTCTATGAAGGCCTTGTTGCTGTAATAGTAATCATTTAGTTATTTCTACCCAGTTTTAAATGTATCATGACTGTAATAAGTTGTTCTTTGTAGAATAATAGAATCATGTTAAGCTTGGTTTTTTAGTTCCTTCAGTAAGAGATGCTCATAAAAACTAGGCAAAACACTTGTATCTTAAAATTTGTTCTACTGTTTTTTGGCCAATAATAAAAGATAGAATGCATTCTGGTTGGCTTAATTATCCATTGCACTTTACAGTTAGCTATTGCAATATCAAGGAATTGAAAATATATATATATATATATATATATTGAAGTTTTGAATGTAAGGACAGAAGAGAATTTATAACTCTAAGGAAAAATATATAATGTTATTAGTTATTTCAAACATGAAAATTGTACTTTTTGTGAATGTGTTTTTTATATGTTTAAGTATAAGGTGTATTATTAAGATGGGTACGACTCAACAGATAATTACTTGTATACATTTTTGTTTTGTAACTGTTTTCCATTAAAATTTATTGAGCTTTTAAGTCTACAAAAAGCACACCATCAAAACAGAATTTGTGATATTTTAATGCAAAGTCATATTTCATAAAAGTATTCAGCATAACATCATACACATTGCTGAAAATTCCTTTCTAAGAACTGCTAACAAACAATGTCATTATTGAAATTTCTTTCTTAGTCTTTAGTGAATAACATCTCATAATTATACCTTATATTGAAATAAATGTATGTGTATATATGTTTTGAAGGTTTTAAGTATTGTTAATACAGTATGTGCTATGCTGTTATCTTAGAATATATAATAAAACATTTTATATGAAATAAAAGATTTTGAAGATAAGTTCTATTTTTCAAATAGTTATATGTTTGTCTAAATGTTTTTTTTAGCGATAATCTAAACTGTTCCTTAATGTGAAGTTCTTTGCTTATAAATTTTTTTTTATTACAAGGAAAAAAAGGGAATTGTTATTGTTTATATTACAAAGGTTAAGGAAACAGGCAAGCATTGATGATACTAATTAATTAGCCAGTTCTTTCTATAAGTTTTTTCACATTTCTGGTGAGAAAAGTAATAAAGATTTGTTATAGATACTTTTTATAATCCAAGAGGAAAAAACTATTCTAAATAGATCAAGACCCTAGCATTCTTTTTTTTTTTTTTTATTTATTTCAAGAGTTGAAAAACTCAACAAAATAGCTTCCATTTTCCTTAACTTCATTCTTGCTTCTTTTTATAAAATCACTATCATTAATATATTACTTGGCTAGTTTATTTTATATCCTTTCTTAATGATTCCAATGGAAAAAGACTATTTTGTGATTTGAAAGAAACATTAAAAATATCAGGAGATTAAAAGAATTGTTTATGAACTAGTGGCATATGGAGTAGTGGGCACTGTTTGAATATATACTTAAGGCACTAGCTTGTTTTTATAAACAGTACAGTAAAATATTTGGTTTCAATCTTAGAACTAAAATTTTACTAACCACAACAATAAAATTTTAAGCAGTGTATAAAATAATCATTAATTATTACAGAACTTTTACTGAGAAAATAAAAGTTGTTTTTCCATGAAAGGTCTTTCATTTGTACAAATAGTCAATTCTAGCACTAACCTTGCATTAAATGTCCTATGTTAAACTTGTATATTGATAATATAAATGTTAGATGTAGATGTAAAAACTTTATGGAAGTGAGTAAGAAAACATCCAAACATCCTCAAAGATGTTTTTCATTTTCTCTGATAGCAAGAACAAAACCAAACATTTTACAAATGTATGGCATTTTCTGTTTTAAATTCAAATCATGATTAAATAATGACAGGTAAAATGAGAACTAATGGAAATCAGTGTTTCAGGCACTACTGTATCAATTGGTGTAAAGTAATGTTGATGTTATCTTTATTTTGTTGGGGTGGGTGACCCTGGTCAACTATTTCTGGACAATATAACAGGAGTTGTTTCCATAACTTAAAAAAAATTATATGATGCACTTAAGGTAGCATATACCCTTTAAATGTCAAAAACTGTCATGATTAATTGTTTGCATATTTTTAATCCTTAACCCCTTTACTTTCAGGGTTTTTCTTAGTTTAGACTAATTCTTCACATCCCATCAGTCTGGATCCATTTTCAAGAGCAAGTTTTCTGGAACATGAGACATTTCTTTTGTTTCTCTATTTTTATAATATACAAATTAGCCACAGTGTTAATGTTACACAACATGGGCCAGAATATGTCTTTGTACCTATTTCAATATATTTTCATACAAAAAACATAAAGTGAAGATGTTTTTTATAATAAGGCCAAAACCTAGATAACACTATGTAAAGGGTAGATGCTACATTAAGAAATATTATCAAACTGAATGTTATGATACAGTACAAATTTCTCTATCTGAAATTCACAGAACTTTTTAACCTTTATACAGGGTCTTCTATAGTTTAGTTTTGAAACTCTCCTTTAAAGAACTCTCATTATAATATTATTCACCCTTTTTTTTAAAGTGATCCGATCTCTTTGTTTGTGACCTGTAATCTAAAGCTTTATTTGACAAAAGCTTGGGTGTATATGTGCCTACTTATCACTGGCAAACCACTGGATTGATTGTTACCAAACCTGGCATGATCTCTTGGACCCCCAGGAAAATTGTTCAAAGGGAAAGAGTCAGCATTTTGATCTGACCCCCTTTGTTTCGTGTGTGTTGAGTGGGTACTTCAGGTCAGCTAGTATTACATTATTTATATTTCAGAGAATGATGGTAATGTTTCTGTTAATTATATTAGTATAAACCAAACAGTTTTTGTTTGATTGATCAGAGTGAAGTTAACTACCATTCTCTATTGCTAGTATTCAAAATTTTTACTAGTGGCGAGTAGCAAATTACCAACTCCTACAAGAAAATGCATCATTTGTTAATATTTGTAACTGCTGCTACATTGTTTCATATTGATTAAGCATTTCTTTAAATTGTATTTAGCTTAATTCTCTGTGTTTTTGAACCATCTCTGCAATTTTAGATCAGATCAATATCTTGAGCACTTCAAGGCATCTATACAATACTTTTTTTTTTACTGTATCAGTAGTTAAGCATAATTTTAATTTTAAAAACAACTGTTGTAAATGTTAGTATACAAATGCTGTTAGTTTATTTTGTTGATGGTTGATCTTTTTTTTTCTGCCATTTCAATCTCAAGAAAAATTTGCACTGCTGTTGAGTGGGATTTGGTTGTCGGTAACAGTAGCTCTTCCCAGGTTGTTGGGCTGAACTTCAGAAAATTTCTCTGTTTATTTTTCCTCCTCCTGCTGTTGGTTAGTGGACGAAACCATGTTTAACCAGTATGTGTTTTATCTTTGCATGTAATATTTAAAAACTGCTTTCCCACCTGAGCTTCAAGAGAGTTGTGTTCCCTTAATCTGATGTTTAACAATAATATTTTGTGACGACCAGCTTGTAGATCAAAGCAACACTTGGATTTACTTTTTTGTATTGCTTGTTATTTTTAAATTAATTGTATACCTTAAAAAGTTACTTGCATATGTATTCCTCTAAATTTAAGAATGCTTGGATATTAAACATATAATGAACATTATCTGTCAACTTGAAAGTTTAATTAAGCATCAAGTTGTGAATATTTTTTTAACAAAGTATGAATACACATTGCTTCGCATACACATATAAAGAAATTAACTATTTATTAATGTGTTCAGAATGAACATTCAATAATATCTGTTTGTTCTTTCAGTTTATTGCTTTATTAGTTACTTATGTGTAGTATGTGCTCTGTTGTTCTTTAATGAACATCCTCATGATAAATGAATGTCTTAAACTGTTTAATCATTAAAAATTATTTTTAAAAGCAAATATTGCTAATTTCTTGATGTATTTTTAATGCTTATTTTGATGTTTTTTAAAGAGAATACTTGTTTAGTTTGGTGTTCTGTTATATGTATTAGTTATTTTTATTAAAAGGTCTTCTAAAGATCTGTTATTGGTTAGTATATTATAATCTTGTGAGAAACTCTAAACATTTTTCTATAATTAAAGAATTAATAAATAACAAAGAGAGTCGCTTTAGCAACAAGTCCAGATTTGGGTTGATCACATCTACTTGATATATCCTGTATCTTCTTATTGACAGGAAATACTGTGTACTGTCAACAAGAAGACACAAGATTTAACAATACTGTGTCCTTTACTGACACTTGTGTCTTAAGATTTAACAATACTGAGTCCTGACAAAAAGAAGATACAGGATTTATCAATACTGTGTACTGTCAATAAGAAGACACAAGATTTAACGATACTGTGTACTGTCAATAAGAAGAGACAAGATTTAACAATACTGTGTCCTGTCAATAAGAAGATACAGGATTTATCGATACTGTGTACTATCGATAACAAGCCACAAGATTTAACAATACTGTGTCCTGTCAATAAGAAGATACAGGATTTATCAATAATGTGTACTATCGATAACAAGCCACAAGATTTAACAATACTGTGTCCTGTCAATAAGAAGATACAGGATTTATC